GGCTCAGTTCTGACTCCAAGCTTTCCCTTGGGTCCTCTGCACTGCGCCCGGAAGGCCCTTGCTTTCCTCTGTGTAATTAACATCGATCTATTTATCTATCTGGGCTTCAGCTGACCTTCTACCTCCTCTGTGAGGCTTCCTGGTTAAGTGTGGGCACCTACAAGGGCTGCCCAGCACCAGGGAGCCCCCTCTTCTTTGAATTCTCTCAGAAACAGGTCTCTCTCTCTTTTTTAAACACATCATCACGGCACCGGCTTCAGGCCCTCTCCTGAGCAGGGCTCTATACCCAGTTTCGTGCTCTGCTGTCTCCGTTTTGGAAGTCTAAGTTTCTTAACAAGGGACCCTACATTTTTATTTTACACTGGGCCCTAAAACTTATGCAGCCAGTCACGCATAATCTCATATGTTAATGTAAACTAATAGCCACATCATAAATTTGATTATAAAGTATATACTCTGAATATTCATGGGCCACAGCAAATAGATGTTTCTGATTTACTACTAAAAATGGAAGCTCACCAGCTATTTTAAAGTTTTGGGGTGCCCTTACCACACCTGTTTTCATGTAGAAATGCTTGGCAAAGATAAGAAACCAAGAATGACTAAATTTCATCACTGTCTATCAGAGCAGTGAAGCATTGATAAGAAAAATCGATAAAACCTTTTCTTTAGAGACGTTAAATCAATAGCCATGGAAATTAGCAGTGGTGCCTGGGCCAAAGGATTGACACTTAAAAGCAATTAGATTACATCTAAAGACCTTTCTTTGTGCACATGAAAACCTTTAATGAAACTATAAACTTTAACTAATAGTGCTGACAATGCATCATTTCAAGGGTGAGGTTAGAGATCCTTCCTATTGAGGGCTCTGGGAAATATCAAAGTCCTTGTAGTGGGTTGCATTGCATACTCCCAAAAAAGTATGTTCAACTCTTAACCGCTGGCCACTGTGCATGTGACCTTATTTGGAAATAAGGACTTTGAAGATATAAGTAAGATGATATCATACTGGATCAGGGTGGGCCCTAAGTCTAATGACTGGTGACCTTATTAGAAGAGAGATACCAGTAACAGAGTCAAACAGAGAAGGCAGCAATATGAAGATGGACACAGATTGGAGTGATGTGTCTACAAGTCAAAGAACTCTAACGATTGTCAGGAAACATAGAAGCTAGAAGAGAGACACAGGATAATTTCTCTTTCAGAGCCTCCAGAAACATCCGGCCTACACCTTGATTTCAGACTTCTGGCCTTCAAGACTGTGTGTGAAATAAATTTATGTTGTTTTAAGCTACCCAGTTTGTGGCCATTTGTAATGACAGCCATAAGAAACTAATAGAGTTCTCACAGATATAAAGTACTTTTTAAAAGCTGAGGGGAAAATGTGTGAAATCTAAATCTAAATCATTGAAGTCACTCATTTTCTCTTTAAGCAAAGAAGAACAAGTATTGGCTATAGGATAAAATGCATTCGAAGAAATGACAATAATCATCAGGACTTATTTCATTTTCTATTACACCTAATTAATGAGAGAGGAAGAAAGAGATAGTAGAAAAAAAAGAAAGAAAAGTATGAAGAAGTGAGGGTAGAAAATAAGAAATCCAAAGACAGAAAAAGCTAAACACAAAGACACAAGAGGCACAAAAAAGATGACTAATAAAATAATAATAGAAGCTAACAGCAAATGAATGCTACTAGGTGCCAGAGACCATGATAAGTGATTTACATGTATTCTTTAAACCTCACGGCACTCCCATTTTACAGATGAGGAAATTGAGGCTGAGAGGGTCAAGTTCTTTGCCAAAGATCATGCTATGGCAAGGAGTACAGCCACCTGATCACTGTGCTACATGTGGCAAGGAAGCACAGTAACCCAAACTGTTGGGCCTCTGGGTTTCTCTGGCCTGAAGATTTCTAGAGCTCAGGCATGAAGTGTTATTAGGATGGACCATTTCAAAGAAAGTGCCTCATTAAGTCAACTACATAAACAGAGATGCAGATATAAAAAGAGTTAAATAACTGTGAACAGCTTTTCTCTTGATAAATAGGTTTCACTTTAGAGAGGAACCTATTAATTTCACCATTCCTTCAACAAATACCTATTAGTGTCTAGCAGGTACAAGTAACCCTAGAAAACTCAGGCTTTAAATGAGCAAAAAATGCACCTGCATACATTGTTGAAAAGTACATAATTATTGCATGAAATGAGGCACAACTGTAATTTGCTTCCCAAAGCTTTTGTGCTCAGAGCTGAATTTTTGTTGTCTTAGACGGGCTTTGTCTGAGAAGTGAGGGCGGTGAATATGTGCTCAGCAGCGGTGACAGGGAGCTTTTCAAGAGAATGGAGCACTAGTTCCCAACTATGGAGTGCTGGAAGCTTCTATTCATTCCTCTTGACAAAGCTCCTGGGTAGAGCAAGGGAGAAGGCTTCTTACCTGGGATAATAGTCCTGACTGGGGCAAAAAAAATCTTATTATGGGATGAGGCGTCAGACTCTACTGGCATATTCGAATCTCAGGTAGGGGGCCTCTATAGACCAGGGTGCAGACAGGGCCTGGAAAGTTCTATTTGCTGATAAGCATGAAGATGTGATTATTATTCTTTTTATTGAACCCTTATTATATGCCACGTCCATTATATCCCCAAGTGATTACTTGAATTATAAATCAAGAAAGCTTCAGAATAAAGCCTATTAGAAGTCAACATAAGTAAAAGCTAATGTACAATTAAAGCATAAAACACAAATTCCAAGCAGATGGCAGGGCACTTTGATAAGAGTTTTCTTTCTTTAGTTTAGTGGCTTGTTACTAAAAGCCTGCTGTTATATTTATAGCACAGACCTGCTTTTAGAATGTTCTTCCAAAGACCATGCAAAGGTCCCCTTTAGACTTGGGGGTGAGCTGTGGGCAGACTGAGGATGGAAGGGGCAAAGAAAAACAGTGAGGCCGCCTGCCCCGGCCCCAGCCACTTACTCACAAGGGCAGTGGCACGAACAGTACCATTGAAAGCCACAATCCACTGTCACAGCTACTCAGAGTCTGCTAAGTTTCAAAGATGTCTATTTAAAACATGGAAGAGAAACGCTCCTGTCTGGCTTGTGTGTTTCTCTCTAACAACTTGTCTATTCTCTGCCTTTTCTTCTCTCAAGAGCTGTAAGTTAGAAGAGCCCACAATGAATAGATAATGAGTTTTTAAGCAAACATTTTAAAAGTTGCTGGTGTTTTCCAGTGATAAGTACTTAATATATCATGTTGGTAACAGTACTATTTAAGAAATAAGTTTCAACTATCTTTTTGTTTTAAAACATCTTAAGATTAATTTCCTATTCAGAGATCTAAGATTAAAAAGACTGAAATTAGTTTTGAAAGTATCAATCAACTAAACATGCTTGTGTGTTTTTAACATAAGCTCAGACACAAAATACACATGGAAAAAATATTCTATGCAAACATAGAACTCCAATTTCTTAAAGCCCAAAGAATGGCAGAAATACATGAAAATGTGATTCTTCATCCTTTTTAATTCCAATTTCTTAAAGCCAAAAGAACTGGAATTTTCAAGAGGAAGGAAAAGAATTTACAAGTCCAAGATGATCCATCCTCTCATCCATATTAGAGATTTCTGCTCAAAGTCAGAAAAACGCTTTCTTAAGGCAAAATAAAAATAAATAAATTAAATAAATGAGGATAAAAGTAGAAAACAGGGTTTAAAAAAAATGAAGATTTTGTATGCTCCAAATCAGACCTGTCACCATTCAGTGATGGGAGAAATATCAAAAGCTTTGGCATAGAAGAGAACCTATATAATGTAATTCTTCACCCTAATGCTAAATATATAGGGCTGTATAATTTCATCCCTCAGTTCAATTATAGCATGCAAATGCCTGAGCCACTTGCTTTCTAAAAACAGATGCAGGGAAACAGACCAAACTAACACGAATGTACATTTAATGGATGCACATTTGTCCTTATGAAGGTTTGGAAAGCAACCAAATAAAGTGGTTTCTTTTGTCACCTCTGACAAAGGGTTATCTAGTTCCAATAGTCACTTGGCCTACTTGGCCCTAAAGGAAACAAGAGTTTTAAAAGAGAAGACAATTCACATTTTCTCTCGCCTGCCTATTCTTCCTGGATCCTTTATCTCCACTCTCTGCAACTTTCAAATTGTCAGCCCATTTGCTGGGGCAAAACCTTCAGCTCTACCCTGTGTCTCCTCCCCTCAACGGCATCTCAGGTTAGGCGATTTGGCATCAGAATCCCTTCTCAGCCCTTCTTGGAAAACACATTAGGGCAAAGGAAACAAGCCATAATTTTCCGATGGCAGGCCCTTTCTACAAGTGCTACCCTGAAATAAAGATAGCAGTCTTTCCAGTTTATAAATACCCACTTAAACTCCCACCAGGTTTCCAGATCTTTTTGTTTGGTCTGGTGAGCAGGACAAAGGCTGTGACCATGGGTGCCCCCAGCACCCGGAGCACAAACAAAAACTACGGGATGGCATCTCCTGTCATCATTTGCTTTCACAGCTGTCTCCGCGTAAAGGAAAGGAGTTAGCATTAACTGAAAACAAAAGGCAAAACACAAACCGTGAAACAGGCAACTGTTTTCACTTGCTCGGAGACAGCAATATTCCTGACGGCTGCTCCGAGTGGAAAAGTACAGCTCTAGTTTCTCCAGAACATCTCTCAATGCCACAGATCGGGCATGCTCGGTTTTTCTTTCCCTGGACACGGGACCATGAAAAGGAAATGGGCCCAATTCCCCAGAACTAAGTCGGCATACAGATAGGTGTTTCTAGGTGTGAGCACCAAGAGAACTTCTTGCTACTGTCTCCAGTCTGATATGACACAAATCAATCGTGTTAATCTTGTAGTTAAGTGGAGAAGGCAAAGGAATTTGCTGTCTCCTGACTTCACAGCCAGGGACCAGATGGAAACCATACACTGTACCTCTCCACCTGCCCTTTTGTAACAGAAGGAAGCATGCAGAGGCTCGCTTACCTTGAAGTTGTGTGTCTTCTCATAGTTGAAGTGGTTGTCATTGTGTGTGAGGGCTGCCCTTCGAACCAGGGAGGAGATCTGTGAACAGGCAAAGAGTTTGAGAGGGGCCCAGAGAAAGCCGCCTTTGACTCCCACCTTCACCCCCAGGGCCACGGCCAGCAGCTCTTGGCGTTTCCTGCCCTGCTTAGACTTCCGAACTACAGCACACTTTTTCTCATTTTCCAGCCACAGTTCCTGGGAGAACATTGTGCCCGGATCCCAGATCTTTCTGGTTTCCCCTGCAGAGCCCGGGGAGCTCCGTGCCGTCAGGCTTTTCGAACCGCAGCTAATGTCAGGCAGCAGATTTGAGGCAGCTGCGTCCTGTCTGCAAAGGCCTCCGGCATGTGACCTGGAAGGCCCGGCTTGAGTGATGGAGGGGTGGAGGGGGCTCCGCTTCTGAATAAGGACGGGCCTGTTTTGTGCTATTTCCTAAGGCCAACGTGTGCCTGGAACAATAGCACACATTCATGTGCACAGCAACCCCCAGGAGCGGTCTCCAGTCAGCCACTGAGGACTCAGGGAGGCAGGGGCAGGCGGCTTTATTTCTCCTGCTGCAGCACATTGTAAAGCAGAGCCCTCTCCTCCTCGCCAGCATGGCTCACACTCACACGCGCACACACACCCCCCAAGTAGCTCTGATGTTCAAAGACTGAGGCTGCATCCAATTATGCTGCGGCTCTGAACCTCATCCTGGGCTGAACTCCAGCAGATTAAACCTTTAAACCCTGATGATCGTTTAATCTTATAGGGGTAAAGCCTATGTCTCTTGTTTTAAATCTGCCTCAGCACTTGAAAGCTTAATTTTTATTCTTATGCATGCATTAAATTGAAACAGCCTGAGCACCAAACGGGGTATCAAAGAGCAAAGGGTTTCAGCTCTGAGTTCTACATTCAAAGTTGCAAAATCAAAGTTGCAAAATTAGAAGCAGGATGTCTTGTTTCAGGAGACCCCTCCAGTCTCTCTTCTCCCCTTCCTGCACAAACCCACACAGACAGCATTCCTTACCTAAAACCAAAACATTCCCATTGCTTTTTTTTTAAATAAAACATCTTCAGCGTTCATTCTGTTAGTGGCCAAGCCTATAAAAATGCCCTCCTTGCTCTTAAAAACATCATCTGTTTAATGGTCTCATGGTCCCAGGTCTTCCCATTTAATAGAAGTAAGGAAATCATGATGTCTTGAGAGTATTCCTGATCCACCGGTGAAATTTAATGCAGCTAATGCCAGACAATAAAATCACTGCTTTAGGAACTTGAAAGCAAGAACTAGATGGCTGGATCTTTATGTAAATGATGGTCTGTGAGTTTCATCCTGTCCTCTACTGAGACAGGGCCCCACACTCCAGCCCCTCTAAGCAGCCTTGTGGAGAGTAACCAAAGATCAGTCCTTCCCTTGAGCCATTCTTTATTTCCGGCATCACCATCACTTAACTTGGTTCAAAATTCCATCCTCCCATTCCATCCTCTTGCTACCTTCGAAAATAACCGCCAATTTTTATATTGTGCTATTGAGTACAATAACTTCCATTGTGCCAGATGATGTTCAGAAGGTGTTAAACGCACTTATTTAATCTTCAGCACGTGGGCATGAGGAACAAGATTTCTATTTCCATTTTTTTTCAGGTGAAGAGACTGAGGCACCCAGAGATAAAGTGATTTGCCCAAGGCCATGCAACTGGTTCAAGTGGCAGAGCCAGGATCAGAACACAGGGCATCTGTGCCCATGCCCTGAGCTGTACGCCCTGCTGCCTCAGTACACCAGTGTGCTGCCACATCCTGCCATCTGGTCCTGCCAGGTGCTTTATCTGAAATATCGGTTGCGTCTGCCTTCTCCTTACCATTCCTGCCCCGCAGTAACTCAGACCTTTGTTATCTTTCCAGGCCACCTTATACCCAGCTGCGCAGCAGTCTTCCTAATCTGGTCACCACTCCCCATCTGCTCAGGAAATGCCAGTGCTTCTCCAGGGCTTAGCTGTGTCCTGGCACCATGGGTACTTCACAAGCTGGTCCCAATGTGTAACCAGTTCATTTTATTTCCCTACACTCCCCTCCATAAATCCTCTGACATGCTCCATTTCTCACCTAGGTAGCCTGCTCTATTTTTTAGAATAGTCCAGCATCATTTCAACATGTCTACATTTTCACCAACATTCCCATTCTAACTCAAAATGCCACCCTTTCCTAAAAGACTTCTCCAATCTCCCCGTGGGAGGCAAGCCCTCTCCTCTGAAATCCCATAGCGTTTTATCTACATTTTCCTATTGCATTTCTCACTTTCTATCTTGCATGAGAGTGATTTAGAACAAAACTTATCCCCTGTCACACTGAAAACTCATTGTGATGTGCTCTATGCCTAAGTTACCTTTGTTTCCCCCTACAAGAGTGTACAAAGGACACCTCACCACAGTGGGAACTAACTATAAGTTGCTAGGAAGCACCTGTGCATGTAGGGAGCCAGGGTTGTGCAGGAAGGTGTACAAAGGTGCCTACATGACGTGGGGTTTCCTGCCCCATCCTGTGATCACCCATCCCCTGCCTTGGCTTCCAAGGACCAGGTTCATTCCAGGTGTCTGCTGTCTTGATGGGCTCCACCAGACTCCTTAGGTTCCTCTTCCCATCCTCCAACCCTGATAATGGCTACCACTAATGGGGTTAAAGTGAAGGCTTGGCATATCTTTGAAAGGCTTCCAATCCTTTCAGGCATTATCCTAAAGGTAAAAGGGTGAAGAGGAGGAAAAAAGAGTCCTTTCCCAAACTTTCACTGCTAGTCAATCAAGAGAGACCTTCTGATGGCAAGCCATTTTGAGTAAGAACAAATTCTTTGACCTGGTCTAGATGAATCATATGAATATACAGTTTTATTTATTTATTTATTTTAAATATACAATTTTAGAATCTGATCAAAATAACTCTGTAAATGGAATGTGTGCAAAAGGGGTCTCCTTCTCCTTTTGGTCTATGGCTGGTTGAATCCAAGGAGATTTAATATTTTCTTTTGTGTCTGTGCCTTTGCTTATAACAAGTAATTTTTATTTCTATTTGTGACAGTGATTTCTTTTTCAGATATTTATTCAATAGAATCGACCCAAACACAAGACACATTCAGACACGAGAAGGAACCACACACTGTTCCCTTAAAGATGCTTCTTTGCAGGGGACAGTAAGTGTTAGCCTTTGAGCGAGCAGTATTGTGCGCAGAGTAGATGACCTCAGATCACCCTCCTATTAAAGGAAAAATGATTACAAAAATCTCTTGGTAGAAACTTCCCTCTTAAATAACCCCATCACATAGAGCTCTTCTTTATCTAAGCTCCCCAAGGACAGCTCCTTGGTTTCTTTTGTATCTTCCACAATCTCTAATACAGTGCTCTCTATACACAGCGGACACTTAAGACTTTTGCTGACCATCTTCTTCCAACAAAAATTTCTATCTGACCTATTTTTATCTATGCATTCATTAGATGAAGCATATTTCCCTACATACTCTGTTTACACCAGGGATTCTCACTGGAACTACTGACATTTAGAGCTGGATAATCCTTTGTCGTGGGGGTTGCCCTATGTGGTGTAGGACATTCTTTGTCTCTATTCACCAGATGCCAGTAGAACTCCCAATTATGATAATTAAAACTGTTTCCAGACATTGCCAACTATGCCTCGGAAGGCAAAATTGCCCCCCGTTGAGAATATCTGAGTTAAATAGATAACACAAATATTTATAGCATGCTTACTGCATACCAAGTATTATACTAAGCACTTTGCATGTTTTGGCTCACATAAGATTTAAAACCTTTTGAGGTAGGTACTGTTACAATGACCCCTGTTTTAGAGATGAGGAAATGGGAACTGAGGGTTTCGGTGGTGGAATACAGGCACAGCTAATGAGGTCAATACTCTCCCCACCCCCCAAGAACAAGTTTCTTTATTTTTCTTAATTGTAGTAAAATATACATAATATAAAAGTTAAAATTATAACGATCTTAAAGTGTATAATATTTTAGCACTTAGTGTATTCACAATGTTCTGTGACCATCACCATGACCTATCTATTTCATCATCCCAAAATAAATCCCTGTACCCGCCAGCACTCACTCCCTATTCTCTTCTCCCCCGGTCCCTGGAAATCACCAATCTGCTTTCTGTCTCTATGAATTTACCTTTACTGAATATTCCATATAAAGGGCATCATACAATATATGGCTTTTTGTGTCTGGCTTATTTCACTTAGCAAATGTCTACAGGTTTGCGTATGTTGCAGCAGGTATCAGTACTTCATTCCTCTTCACTGCTGAACAATAATGCATTGTATGGATATACCACATGTCTTTTACCCACTTAGCAGGTAATGGACATTTAGATTGTTTTCACCTTTTGCCTATCATGCATAGTGCTACTGAAAACATTCTTGTACAAGTTTTGTTTGAACGCTTGTTTTCAATTCTTTTGAATATACACTAAATCTACGCTTTTAACCACCCTCTAAACTTCCTCTCATTCCAATAATATTCACAGTAAAAAATATCCAGGGATTGAATGCCAAAACTGCTCTCTTCCCCATTATTAGCCTGTTAACAACTAGCTGGGCTGTGTGTTTTCTGGACTGGTTTTTAAAGAGGAGACTTTGGTTCTCCCTGGGCCTTCTGTGCCTAAGGCACTACTTAGGATACTTTTAGAAGGAGGTGGGACTATAAATAAATGGTGAAATAAGCTCACCACTTCCCTTTTTCTTTTTTTATAAATAAGGGTTGGGATTCTATTTTCCGAGGCCTCTTCTTTCTCTCTATGATTTGGATCCTGGACACAAGAAGGAATCGGGTATAAGGAGAAGGCAATGAAAGATTGTCAGATGAAGGCGAGAGGCAAGGATGGGTCAAGGGGAAGGAAGACCAGAGAAAACACCCCCCTTAGGGAGTGAATGTACATGTACAGGGCCCAGGAAAAAGGGGTGGTAGGAGAAGCCTGCACTGACTTTAAAAACTTCGCATCATAAGCCCAGAGGAAACCTCAAAAGTTCATCCAATCAAGGCCTCCTTCTCCGT